ATGCCCATGTGCAGAATTTATGTCACTGCAGATTTTTTTTTGCTTCCCCACAGAAAAATTGCTTTCTGAGGGGGAAGCCACAAGAGCAGTCACGCAATCCCCGCCCCAGTAGTATGTTTCAGGTGCCCAGGGCAGCTGGCAGAGAGGTAAATCATTGTGGGGCAGGACTGGGGAAGACCCAGTTGGTGGCTCCTACCCTGTGCCAGGCTCAGCTGCTAGTCCTGGCTGGGCTGGGGAGGACAGGACAGGACTTCCTCTTCCCCTGCATGGCCTCTGGGGCTGGGTCAGACCCACTCTCAAATTTCTTCCCAGGCTGTAGGAAGCTCTGCAAACTCCACCCCCAGCGCTTCCTGCACCCATCACTCCTCAGCTATAGGGTGAAGGATCACTGTAGAGGGGGAGGTCCCCCATCTACCCAACCCCCATGCACCAGACCCTCACCCCCCCCAGACCCAGAACCCCTCCTGACAAGCCCCACTTCCCTGATACCACCCCAATGAGCCACCCATACCAGGATTCCCACCACCCTGAGAGCAAACCAGCTGCAACTGGATCCCCACCCCACTAAGCCCCACTCTCCCAACATCTGGATTCCTCCACAGCCTCCCAGACCTCTCTACCAAGCTCTATCCCTCCCACACCATGACCCCCCGGCTGAGCCCCAACCACCTTCACCTGGACCCCTCCCCCCTGCAGCATCCCATTGCACCCAGAACCCCCCCAACAAGCACCTGTGCAGCCAGATCCCCCCTGCACACAGATCCCCCAGGGAGCTGCCCACACCCAGATTGCCCCACACACAACCCTCTCAACCCACAATTGGACCCCCCCACACTACACCCCTCCACACTTGGACCCTGCCTGCATCTGGCACAGAGGGGCAGGGCCCTGGGGTGTTTCTAGGGCAGGCCTGGTCCTTGTGCTGCATGAGGGTTGGATGCAGCCTCACTGCTGAATCCATATTCCAGGGGGAGCTGCAGAGTGATCTCCCCCCTCTGTGCAGCCAGTGATCTGTGCTTCTCAATGCCATGCTGAGCCGCCACATTTATTTAACAAATAAAATGTGCAGAATTTTTAATTTTTTGGTGCAAAATGCCCTCAGGAGTAGTTTGTGAAAAAATTAAAAAAACACCCTACACATCTACAGCAAGGACGGGACTATACGCAAGATCATCACCCGATTGAAGTCACTTGCAAAACTCCCACTTATTTCAGTGGGGCCGGAATTTCACCCAAAAACGTTAAAGATAAATCAGTATTTGGGCTGTGAATGTTCACAAGTTACATACATAAGAAATATAGGGCACAGTGTTAAATATTTGGCTTTGTATTTAACTTTTAATAATTGTGAAAATATGGATTAGCTCATTGCTGAAACAATCTCTCTTCTTGAGAAAACATCACAGATGCTTAAAGTTTGCATTAAGAGGTTAATCAGCTGCTTTCCAGGATGGTGTTGTAGCACGTTCTGACCATTGATGTTGCTTAGTTAAAACATTTGTGATTCCTGAGCAATTATATTTTGTGTTTATGTAATTAATATGAATAAAGCTTAAAGAACCAAAACTTCAATAACAAATATGAAAGTCATTCATAAAATGTACCTTAATGATCTTTATGAGGAACTACCAGAAAGGTTTCCAACTCGTTAGAAAAAAAGTTCACCAAACTCAAATTTTGAAACAAGGTATTAAAAAGGGACATGTGGGGAACAAAGAGGCTGTTTGGACTAAAGGAATGCAGGGTCAATGCACTGAACGATTTGTTCTCTCTTTCACTGAGAAAAGTTCCTTATGTTTTATAGTTAAAACCACTTAAGAACGTCAATTATGGCACAAAATACAATGAAACACAAGTTGCCCATTTGTCACATTTTGATATTACTCATTGGCATGGTTTGAGGCCGAGTAGTTTGAACGTTATGACACCACCTTAGGTTATTAAGACTTACACATTTATCTAGCTTACATTTCACCATTGCTACTGTTTGCTAGCTTTTTGAATTTTATTCATGATGGACAACAAAACTAGACTAGTAAGTTTCCCTTTATGGTCAAGGTCAGATCAAATGCTCCATGTGCAGAATTCCAATTGATTTTGATGGGAGCTGAGCACGTAGATGTCCATTAATCCTCCTAATCTTAGTGCCCCAGCCACATGCAGAACATTCATTGGCACAACTCCAACATCAACTCCTTGATTTTTTTCTCACTTGCAATCATCCAGAAAAACGTTACATATGAATTCAAAGTGACACCCGATGAAGTGAGCTGTGGCTCACGAAAGCTTATGCTCAAATAAATTGGTTAGTCTCTAAGGTGCCACAAGTACTCCTTTTCTTTTTGCGAATACAGGCTAACACGGCTGTTACTCTGAAAAGTGACACCATTTGCCTATAGAGCAATACAATATGGAGGTTTGCAAAACATATCCTTTTTAAACTTATTTTGAACTTCAAACTTAAAATATGTTCCTTTTCAAAATAAAAGACATTCAAATGGGGCTTATGCCTGGTTTAGGTAACTTGAAAACCCACTTTGCCATTAGACATGCTTTCTGGTAATATTCATTGCAAGCCAGCAGGCAAAAAGCAGACTTCATTTCAAAAGGAGGGAGGGAGCTAAATAGAGAAAGCAGCATGTAAGTGCATTACACATATTGATAGACAGATAAAACACTTAGCACACAAGATGAGATTCATGAACTATATAAATAAGTGACGGTTCCCTAACTTTCAAACATAAATCCACTTGCACTCCCGTCTCAATCTAAACTATTTAGACTATTTCACACTATAAAATGATTGATAATTTTCTTTTCAACCTAGAACTTAAAATGACAATGCTGAGACATGAATTCTCCAAGAATTGTCAAGTATAGTTGGTATTTTACACATTAGTCAAATCCTCCACTATGGTGCTTGGTGGAATAATGCAGGCAGCACGTGGCTCTTTCAAAGCAGCCCCTTTCTGTTCTCTGCCCCCTCACATTTCCATCCCTAGCTAAAAGTAATCCAGCTGATCTTATGTAACATTTCTATTCCAGTGAGTAGGGGCTTGGTGTGGTTTTTTGGAACAGTTGCCACTTGAAGGGGCAAACAATTACCACCAGGTATTGGGCTCTTTCCTCTTTAGCTGTAGCATGAGGTGAATAATTATTATCCCATGCAGAGTGGTGGTGAGAGGGAAATGAACAAAATACTGATCTGTGGCACAGAGGAGAATGTAAAAGGGAAGGAAATAATCATTTCTGATGAAGCAGCACGCTGCTTTCCCCTCCCATCCAACACAAAAATAAAATATAAAATAAGTCAGAAGCTGCGTCTATAGCTGGCTATAGGAAATAAACCACCACATTTCAACTTAAGAGGCAGATCACGAGTGCTTCAGCAGGATTTTCCTGAGGATTCCTTTAACCCCTAAATATCACAATGAAACATCCATGTGGTGTCAATGCAGCACCCAAATAGTACTAGCAACAACACTCCACAGAAGGTGATCATGACTTACCAAGCTTAAAAGCAAAGCTTTGATCACAGCATTAATCAACATTTCTCCAGGAAAGAAAGACTCACTGAGAGGCAGGATTTGAGTCACATATTGTAAATCATTGCATACAAGACTCTTGAATGACAAAGAGTAAAAGGTTTGATGAACCCATGGAACAAAACTTCTTGCTATCTATAACCCCAATCTGAAATCCACTGAATTCAACGGGAATCCGTCCATTTGCTTCAATAGGCTTTGGATCAGGGGAAATAAGACTAGCATCTTTGGCTGCGTGTACACACTGGTAAAAATGGGACCTGTAATTCACATCTGGTGTCACCCCACTGGAGTGAGCAATAGTAGACGCTAGTGTAGACAGAGCTCAGGCATTATGACTGTTGTATCACTCAGCCCTGCCATAAGCAGTACATCTGTACCAGTGGAAAATTATGGATCCTAGCATACACAAGTCCTCTGAGGCCTAAGTTCTTCTCTAGGTTTCACCAGTTTAACTTTGTTGATTTCAGTAGTTATCCATGTACTTTAGCATAAAATTCAGCCAACAGCTATATAATGTACAATAATTTGAAGCCACTATATTTAAAGCAAAACTGCCAAACCAACGAAGATTAGTATGTGACAGGCAAGGAAAATAAATAAAAGATTTATATAGGAGTGTGGACCAAGGTTTTCAAACCTGCAGTGCCTAAACGTACATACCTCCGTACAATAATTGGCCAGGTTTTCGTAAGTGTGGAACACCCAGCAGTTCCAACTGAGGGCTTATTACTAGATTTTTTTTTCCAGATATATCAGTGGAGACAAGCAAATTAATATGTAGGTCTCACCTGAAAATCTTCATTATAATTCAAGTGAGGGGGACCTCATATTTCAACTGGATCCTTCAGAAATACTATATGCCTCATAGTGAAAGATTAGATCTTGCAAGGGCGTAGGCATGACAGACAGAGACAGAGAGAGAGATAGGGACTATTTATTAGTGGTTCCCTATCATTTTTGTTTTATTCTCAGTCCTGACTTCTTCCTCTTTTTAAAAATGCCCATTTCCCTGGTTTCTTAGGCTACTATAGTTAGTAAGGCAATTGTAGCGTTAATGCTAAAAAGCTAAGCAATCTCCCTTCCCTTGTCCCCACAGTTCTCAGATCACATTCCACCTTTCCGTAGTGAGAGTTGCAGATAGCCCACAGAGAGAGGCAGGCAAGGTCTGTTTCTTACTTCACCCACTGTTTCCTAAGGGCAGGATGTTTGCTGGGCTCAGTTCTTGTGGAGATGTTAACTGAATTTGCAATGTTTGTTGGAGAGGTTTTTATTAATTTACTTCCATTCATTCATCAAGGAGCAAAGTATTAGGTTTTCCCTGCCCATTGCTCAGAAAGAAAGAAAAAAACTTCAGAGTTAGCCTTGCATTATACCTGGTGTTTCACCTTAGGCTATTTCAATTCCTCAGTGTCCACTCCCAAATCTTAAACATATGAGTCAGGCTTTGCTAAATCCATTATGCATACTTTTATTAAAATAATTCATCTGACAACACCAAGCACATTGTCAGCACTCTCCGCATAAAATAAAACAAATCTAGGTGATGTATTAAATAAGAAATAAACATGTGGATAAAATATGGTCCACTTCCAAGCATCCATGGAACAGCAAATATGGCTAAACTCTGAATTATGCTACAAGTGGCGGCTGGCAGCCAGATTGCAGAGCCACTATTGGAATGTTGCATAATAAAGCGAGTTCTTGGCTCAATAAAATACTCTTCTGCTGAATGAGACTGTGATATCCTCAAATGCCATATTCTGAGGCTTTCTACTTCCCCACCTCATTTTTAATGGCTGGATTCTGAAAATAAATGAGCAGAGAATAATTATGTCTTAGACTTTCCCCACTGAAGATAAACATTAGTATGTCTGGGTGCACATATGAAGGCACATTAGAAATTTTGAACTTAATAACAAATTCACTTTTATAAAGAGAGAGGGGGTGCTTCATTTTTTTCAGAAACAATCCTTTGACCTCATACTTCACCAATTTCAGATACGGATTTTTTTTCCCAAAAATGGAGCACTCCTTTTATTATTCATTTGAAATATTACTTTCAAAAGGCTGCACTGGCCATGTTAATTTGAGGCAGATCTGGAGTACAAGAAATCCCAAAGAACAAAACCTTGATACAGAAATAGCCACCTATCCCTGCCACTGCATGATTATTCCCTAGAGTACATCATCTATTGCTTCATTATTTTCAGAACTAACCTTCAATAAATGCATTTTCACTAAACAACTTCAGTAAAATCCTAAATCACAATACTGATCATATCCCTCAACCTATGGTACCAAGGAGAACATTACTGGTACAGGAAACTCTTCATACGACTGAATTATTTGAATTCTTCACCATATTCTTTAATCCTTCACAATTCTGAAAAAATAAAAGAGGATTTACACACAAATTTGTGTGGGATAAAGGTAACAAATTGATGGGGGAAAGTGACAGAGTTGCAATTTAGTTTTTTTAGGTGCAGGGGAGATGTGAACTTCAAAGTCTATAAAGAATTATTTAAATGCTCTGACTAGACTTCGCTAGGTCAGTAAGGGACATGAAGAGATGTGATCCCAGACTGGCTGGGCACTGCTATGTTGAAGCCCCTAGGGTATATGCAGTTATATCAGCAAAACCACACTTTTACTGGTATAATCTGTTTTGCTCAGGGTGGGGGTGGGGGGGCAAAAAGGAAGTGGCGGGACTCAAAGAAACACTTTGCCTGTACACTATACCAGTTTTCTTATACTGGTAAAGTGCTCCTAGTGTAGACATGCCCTAATAGAAAGCATGGTGACATTAGAGTTAAGGAGAGAGGGTTGATCTGAGTAGAAAAACAGGAGCCATGAACTCACTAATTCTAATCCCACCTCCAATATTGACTCCTTGTGGTGTGTCAGGCTCAATTTCCCCACATGTAAAAAAGGGGGTAGACTTACTTGTATACCTCAGACAGATGTTTGTGAGGAACATTTATTAATTACTCACTAAAGCTTTGTTTGGCATTTCACATGCAATAACAGTTTACCAGTCTCAGAGTTCACCATCTAGGTAGGCAAAATACTAACAAACGTGGATGAGAACAACGTACAAAGCATGTAAATGAGCAGTTATGACAGGTATGGAGCAGACTTGTTTATACATATACACAATAAGAACAGTAATAAAATATTTTCACATTGCCTAGTTTTAATAAGTATTCAGAAAAGATCACCTCTCTCTTTTTTGGTCAAAATATAGCATTTTAAATAAGTCATCACAATACCAGCCGGTCAACAATTAACATATTTCACAGATTACTATTTTAAAAGAATTAACCTTTGCAATATGACTTATCCCAAAAATACACACATCCAGCTCCTTAGTAACAAACCTGGGCTCTGGCCGATCACGAGATTTATTTTTGGTAGGTGAGAAATCAAATGCCAAAGTCAAGGACCCCTACTAGAGAATGCCCTGGCAGTCACTCTTTTCCTTTCTTGAGTGCCTCCACTATGTTCTCAACTGAGAGACCCAGGGGAGAAAAAGAGATGGACTTTGGTACCTAAGTTAAGGTCCACCTTCTTTTAGCAGCCAGAAGTGGGGAAGGAATAAAGTACCTACTCATAACTAGGAGGACAGGCTGACTTCTTCCTACCATTCTCTCAGGAGACAGGGAACAGACTTGTGAGGAGCAGTTTTTTGTTTTTTTTTTTTAAATTTCAAAAAGTCTTGAGATTGCTGAACCATTCCTGCCATTATTGATTTGTCCCTGGCTCATTATGAAGATACTTTGTCATAATTCTATTTTGCATCTGATGAATCCATCAGATTTATGTCAAATAGCACATATTTGCTAAATAAATTTGCTGCAGGAGGGCATCCCTGCACTTTGCTATAAGGGGCCTTGTTTTCTTCTTCGCCCTTCAAGTTGCTCCATTCAAACAATGCAGTAAGAAGAAAAAGAGAGTACATCAGAGAGGCCACCAATGCCTAATACAGGCCTCAACAATGCTCCAAGTCTGAAATTTAGCCTTTGGCCAACAATTAAAAAGAATTCCTATAATGTTCAAATTTGGTGTGTTACTAATGCTTAATGAAGACAATGCTTTTTATAGCTGCCGTTTAGTCTAAGAGTCAGTCTAAGCTTTTCTTGATCTTTAGCAACACAGCAGTAATTGTACAAATCTGAACATCAAATTTTTCTTTTACTGGGTTTATTGTTTCCAGAATATAAAAATCAAATGAACAGGCGAGGAATTTTAACATTATTTCATTTGCAAGTTACCTTTTATTCAAAGTTTTCTAATATTTTATGCTTGATTATGCTGTAGGCTCAAAGCTTTCCGATTTCTTCCTGCAATTTCAGTACCTTTGCATATAAACTCATTAAGCTGTAGTTACAAAGGTTAAATACCGTTCAATCTGGTACATATCAGTTTATATAGTAACTCGAACTACATGAATGCCAACAACTTTTGTATAAAAGTGATATTTGTTAACCTTGTGTCAAACATTTTTCCTTGGGGGAAAGCAATAATATACTTTAAAGATAGCATAGACTTACCTCTCTTATTCGTATCTTAAAAACCTTAATTATTTATCAGCCTCTAAAAACTTATAAAATTATTCATGCCTGTCTGCATATTTGGGATTTGAATATCTGGGGAATTATCAGATATATCTTTCTTAACGGAAAGAGGGGAATTGAGTCAATCAGGATTGGATGGATAAGTCAGATCATGATGAAAAAGGAAGCATATATAAATTCGCCATACATCTTAGAGGTTTAATTATTTCATTAATTTCTGTTTATGATGCTTGAGCTAAGATATTTATATAGTGTGTGTTGGCCTAAAATAGGATTTTGGGGCTGCTACAAACTATTTGCATATTTATTACATCAGTTAACCAACCTGATGCACACAGTAGCATAGCAGGGGGGAGCGGCTGTTTGCCCTCTGAGCACAAGTGGCGCCTGTTTAATTTATAGGCGCCTTTTTTAATTTTAATCACCCGGTGGTGCTCCGGGTCTCCGGCTCGGCGGGGGCCTTCACGCGCTCCGGGTCCTTGGCAGCATTTCGGCCCTCAGTGCTGCCGAGGACCCGAAGTGCCACCCGCTGAGTACAAGCGGGTGGCACCTTTTTTAATGTCCGCTGCCCCTGTTCGCTCCGCCTAGCTACGCCACTGGATGCACATGCTGTAACAAAAAGAATATATGGAGTGAAATTCTGGTGCCACTGAAATCAGGGTTTTGCCACTGACTACAGTGGGGCCAGGGTTTCAATCCTTGTCTTTTTTTTTTTTTAAATACTTAACAGCACTTTAGCCTATATCAATGTTAAAGGATTCCTTAAGGCAAGACCTGTCATAGTAAATAATTACTAAAGGGCAAACGTTAAGATCCAGCAACCTTGAAAATGTCTCTTGAAAAATACAGTTAAGCTTTTAACAATGAAATTGTAATCAAGTAGCTGGGAAAAGGGTTTTTTTTTTCTTCTTCTTTTTTTAAACAATTCTTCCTGGAAAATAATGCTATTTTACAGGCAATTTCCATCAATGATATATACCTTTAGTTTCCTGGATATCTGATCCACCTACAGTATTTGCATGTTGAAATAAGATGAATAGATCACTACAATTAGAACACACCTAACTGGTGTATTTTAGGCAACATGTTTAGTTGCTAACATATGAAATCTTTGACGCTTCCACCTTGTATTAATGTGAATATTGGTCAGTGTTCCCATGATGATTAGACTGCTTCTTTTGCTTGGAGTCTAGTCACTGAAGTAATTAAAGGAGAAGGTTACTGCAAAGATTGCAACTGCAGCTGCTATTGCTACACCTAAAACGACAAAGGAAAAAATACTTCCATGAGTGAAGAGGAGAGTACAATCACCGCAAGGCGGGGTGTGAAGAAAAGGAAGAGTGGGAACAATAAGTGTCATTTTTAACATTGCTGAGTAGCACTACAATGCCTAAAGATCAGATTATATTGTTAGTCATAGAAATTCATTTTATAAGACAATCTACATAAATAATTTTTCAAAGTGCAAAGTTCTTCAGAGATTCAATTAATCATAAACTCTACTCTTATGGGCCAAGTCACCAAAAGCCTAACGCATTAACTCTACGTTATGGCTTGATGATACCAAACTGACTCTCAGATTAAAAGTTATGGATAAAAGGGGCACAAACAAATTAAATAATTCCAATACATGAATTAAATGTTGTTTCAGATACTGCATTTGCCCCAAGTCCCATGGTCAGTTTTTGTAGTTTTACGATCACATTTTCCTGTGGTTTTAAAATGTTTCTCCCCAGTGTTGATATGCAGGAGATACACAAACATGAGCAGGGCAAAACTGGCTAAGTGTTGAGAGGAAAGGACTGTCATATGCAGAAAGTAAACAAACAAGCAAACAAAATATATATATTTTTAATCTCCAATTTACAGAAAACGTAGGTGTTACTTGTAAAAATATTAAATAAAACAAATGTAATGATAAGCAGGCTTTAAGTTGGTGTTGTAGTTGTTCTACTGACTAATCAAATATCAAGCATAAATCCACATTTTAAAAAAGAAAGATTTCCATCAAGATTTACTACAATTTCTTTGCTCACCAGCTTGATGTCTGCACCAGGGACTATAATGCAATGTTGATTGAGGAAAGACTTCTATGACGGCTGGAATTCATTACCAAGGTAGCACAGCTCATCCTTGCAAGCAGCATAGCGATAGCTGCATGAGCACTGCTATGAGCTCATTCATATATTCATACAATGCACCTTGGAAGAAGCCACTTGCCTGCTCTCACTCTCTTTTTCTTAATTGTCAAAAGAGAGGTTATAAAATGGTGGCTTCCCAGAAGGCAATAGGGCTACCTCAGCCACTTGTTTTGAGGGAAGTTTTCCTTATTATCTGTTTTGTGGAACTTAGATCTGATTCTGAGATATGCTGATCACCTACAACTCCCATCTGGGGAAATATTTTTGAAAAAGGACTACTGATGTAATATTTAAAATCCCTGCTACTATATTGGTTTTTCTCATCAAGATTAAAGCTTCTTTTCAAATATCACAAACGCTCCATCAATATTTCATTATTTGCTTTAGCCTTTATCCAAAATGGACTTTGGACAAAATGCTGAACACTTTGGTCCCGATGTAGCAAAGCACATGCATACATATTTAACTTTAAGCATGAGAGTCAGATGCCAACAGGACTACTCACATCCTTAAGGTATGATCTTAAGTGCATGGCTAGATCAGAGCCAGAGTGCCACCAATCCGGTCCAGAAGTTCATCTATGCAGACAACATCTGCTGTGGGCTACAGGCTCTGACCTTCTCTGAGCTGGAAAAGATCCTGCGTAATGATACTGCAAAGCTGGCCGACTACTATAAGACATGGTGCACCTTCACTCTAGCACCAGCAAGATAGTCTCTAACATATTCCACCTCCACATGCCAACATTAAGAGGGAACTGAACATTATAATGGATGGCCAGAGGCTGAAGCATATCCAATTTACTTAGGTGTGACCCTTGACCAAACACTGACACACAAAAGCCACCTGAGCAAGAAAGCAGTGAAGGTCAAGACATGCAACAACCTTCTCAGCAAACTGGCAGGTTCTTCATAGAGAGTAGATGCTCCAACCCTAAGGACCTCAGCCCTTGCCATTGCGTACTCAATAGCAAAGTACTGTGCACCAGTATGGAGATGATTGGCAAGCACCAAACTTGTTGATGTGCAACTCCTCTCAACCATGTGCATCATCACAGGAAGTCTCCGACCAACTCATCTTCCATGGCTTCCAGTTCCGAGCCACATTGCTCCCCCTCACATCAGGAGGGAGACTGCAGCTGGTAAGCTGCTTGAGAAGGCATGTGCCAACCCAAGCTTGCCCTTGTTCAACAACCTTTTTAACCCACTAGCTATATATCTTTCCTCACGACACCCACTGTGTTCGAGGCTGCCATGCCAGGACGTGATAGCAGAGTCCCTGTGGCGGGAAGACTGGTGCTTAATATCAACCACCAATCAGTTCCTTGTCACAGACCCTACTGCTCGCCCGCCTGGCTTCGACCTGGGCCTTTCTTAACTGATTCCGGACTGGCAAAGGCCTCTGGTGCAGCCAACTAGCACCGTTGGGGTCTTCAAGACAATCGAAGCTGCAGCTGCATGGCAGAGCAAACAATGATACACATGGTAGAGACGTGTCCGCTAACCAACTTCAGCAGTCAGCTCCACAAGCACCACTTGGCCACTAAGCATGCTATTGCTTGGCTCAGCGAATACACACACACACGGAGTAAATTGCAAAACTGAGCCTCTGAAGAGTGAACCAAACAACACTCCCCCCCCCCCCCCCGCTGCAAATCTCTGAATTTTTAGCAAGCACATAACGTTTTGGCTTAAGCCCACTGAAGAACAAGTCACCTTCCCCCCTCCCTCCATTTACTAACTCTGTGCTTTAAACTGTAAACTAAATTATGCCGTTTATTATATCCTCACATCCTGAAAATACTACTAATATTGTGGGAGCAAATGACTGCCTTAATGGGCTTATTGGAGGTAACATACCCATGTTTTGTTGAAGTTTCGATAGCAGCGTTGCTTTTGTCAATTGTATCTGTTGCGTATCATCTGTGTTGTCGACAGGTGGATTTATATCAACTGCATGCAATTGAGAGATAAGTTTAGCAAAACCAAGTATTCATTCACAGTTTATAAAACACACCTATATTTTGCAATTACAATAATACAAATAGGACATTAAGTTTATAATTCCTGATCTGTTCTACCAGTGGACTATATTGACCATTTTGTATTATTATCAGTAGTAATGAGGTACCTGTACTGAAACTTGTGCTATTCAACCTATTCATCAATGATCTGGAAAAAAGGGGTGAACAGTGAAGCGGCAAAGTTTGCAGACAATACAAAATTATTCAAGATAGTTAACTCCAAAGCAGATTGCAAGAAATTACAAAGGAATCTAACAAAATTGGGTGACTAGGCAACAAAATCGTAGATGACATTCAATCTAGATATGTGTAAAGTAATGCACATTGGAAAAAAACCACACAAATATATGATGGGTTCTAAAATAGCTGTTATCATCCAAGAGAGAGATCTTGGAGACACGATGGATAGTTCTCTGAAAACTTCTGCTCCAAGTGCAGCAGTGATCAAAGAGACATACAATAGTATGTCAAGCATTATTATGAAAGGGATAGAAAATAAGACAGAAAACATCATGCCACTATATAAATCCATGTGCACCTTGAATACTGTGTCCAATTCTGGTCACCAGTCTCAAGAAGGACATAGGAACTGGGAAAGGTCCAGAGAAGGACAACAAAGATGATCAAGGGTACAGAATGGCTTCTATATAAGGAGAGTCTAAGCCCTGGTCTACGCTAGGACTTTAGGTCCAATTTAGCAGCATTAAATCAATGTAAACCTGCACCCGTCCACACGATGAAGCCCTTTATTTTGACTTAAAGGGCTCTTAAAATCGATTTCCTTACTCCACCCCTGACAAGTGGATTATCGCTTAAATCGGCCTTGCCGGCTCGAATTTGGGGTACTGTGGACACAATTTGACGGTATTGGCCTCCTGGAGCTATCCCAGAGTGCTCCATTGTGACTGCTCTGGACAGCGCTCTCAACTCAGATGCACTGGCCAGGTAGACAGGAAAAGAACCGTGAACTTTTGAATCTCATTTCCTGTTTGGCCAGCGTGGCAAGCTGCAGGTGACCATGCAGAGCTCATCAGCAGAGGTGACCATGATGGAGTCCCAGAATCGCAAAAGAGCTCCAGCATGGACCGAACGGGAGGTACGGGATCTGATCGCTGTATGGGGAGAGGAATCCGTGCTATCAGAACTCCGTTCCAGTTTTCGAAATGCCAAAACCTTTGTCAAAATCTCCCAGGGCATGAAGGACAGAGGCCATAACAGGGACCCGAAGCAGTGCCGCGTGAAACTGAAGGAGCTGAGGCAAGCCTACCAGAAAACCAGAGAGGCGAACGGCCGCTCCGGGTCAGAGCCCCAAACATGCCGCTTCTATGATGAGCTGCATGCCATTTTAGGGGGTTCAGCCACCACTACCCCAGCCGTGTTGTTTGACTCCTTCAATGGAGATGGAGGCAATACGGAAGCAGGTTTTGGGGACGAAGATGATGATGATGATGAGGTTGTAGATAGCTCACAGCAAGCAAGCGGAGAAACCGGTTTTCCCGACAGCCAGGAACTGTTTCTCACCCTGGACCTGGAGCCAGTACCCCCCGAACCCACCCAAGGCTGCCTCCTGGACCCAGCAGGCGGAGAAGGGACCTCCGGTGAGTGTACCTTTTAAAATACTATACATGGTTTAAAAGCAAGCATGTGAAAGGATTACTTTGCCCTGGCATTCGCAGCTCTCTTGGATGTACTCCCAAAGCCTTTGCAAAAGGTTTCTGGGGAGGGCAGCCTTATTGCATCCTTCACGGTAGGACACTTTACCACTCCAGGCCAGTAACACGTACTCGGGAATCATTGTACAACAAAGCATTGCAGTGTATGTTTGCTGGCGTTCAAACAACATCCGTTCTTTATCTCTCTGTGTTATCCTCAGGAGAGTGAGATATCATTCATGGTCACCTGGTTGAAATAGAGTGCTTTTCTTCAGGGGACACTCAGAGGAGCCATTCCTGCTGGGCTGTTTGCCTGTGGCTAAACAGAAATGTTCCCTGCTGTTCGCCACAGGGAGGGGGGAGGGTTGAGGGGGTAGCCACGCAGTGGGGGGAGGCAAAATGCGACCTTGTAACAAAAGCACATGTGCTATGTATGTAATGTTAACAGCAAGGTTTACCCTGAAAGAGTGTAGCCACTGTTTTATAAAATGTGTTTTTAAATACCGCTGTCCCTTTTTTTTCCCCTCCACCAGCTGCATGTGTTTCAATGATCACAGGATCTTCTCCTTCCCAGACGCTAGTGAAGCTTAGAAAGAAAAAAAATGCACTCCAGATGAAATGTTCTCCGAGCTCATGCTGTCCTCCCACACTGACAGAGCACAGACGAATGTGTGGAGGCAAATAATGTCAGAGTGCAGGAAAGCACAAAATGACCGGAAGGAGAGGTGGCGGGCTGAAGACAGGGCTGAAGCTCAAATGTGGCAGCAGCGTGATGAGAGGAGGCAGGATTCAATGCTGAGGCTGCTGGAGGACCAAACCAGTATGCTCCAGTGTATGGTTGAGCTGCAGCAAAGGCAGCTGGAGCACAGACTGCCACTACAGCCCCTGTGTAACCAACCGCCCTCCTCCCCAAGTTCCATAGCCTCCACGCCCAGACGCCCAAGAACGTGGTGGGGGGGCCACTGGCCAACCAGCCACTCCGCCACAGAGGATTGCCCAAAAAAAAGAAGGCTGGCATTCAATAAATTTTAAAGTTGTAAACTTTTAAAGTGCTGTGCTTAAAGTGCTGTGTGGCATTTTCCTTCCCTCCTCAACCACCCCTCCTGGCCTACCTTGGTAGTCATCCCCCTATTTGTGTGATGAATGAATAAAGAATGCATGAATGTGAAGCAACAATGACTTTATTGCCTCTGCAAGCGGTGATCGAAGGGAGGAGGGGAGGGTGGTTAGCTTACAGAGAAGTAGAGTGAACCAAGGGGCGGGGGGTTTCATCAAGGAGAAACAAAGAGAACTTTCACACCGTAGCCTGGCCAGTCATGAAACTGGTTTTCAAAGCTTCTCTGATGCGTACCGCACCCTTCTGTGCTCTTCTAACCGCCCTGGTGTCTGGTTGCACGTAACCAGCAGCCAGGCGATTTGCTTCAACCTCCCAACCCACCATAAATGTCTCCCCCTTACTCTCACAGATATTGTGGAGCACACAGCAAGCAGGAATAACAGTGGGAATATTGGTTTCGCTGAGGTCTAAGCGAGTCAGTAAACTGCGCCAGCGCGCCTTTAAACGTCCAAATGCACATTCTACCACCATTCTGCACTTGCTCAGCCTGTAGTTGAACAGCTCCTGACTACTGTCCAGGCTGCCTGTGTACGGCTTCATGAGCCATGGCATTAAGGGGGAGGCTGGGTCCCCAAGGATACATATAGGCATTTCAACATCCCCAACAGTTATTTTCTGGTCTGGGAAGTAAGTCCCTTCCTGCAGCTTTTAAAACAGACCAGAGTTCCTGAAGATGCGAGCGTCATGTACCTTTCCCGGCCATCCCATGTTGATGTTGGTGAAATGTCCCTTGTGATCCACCAGAGCTTGCAGCACTATTGAAAAGTACCCCTTGCGGTTTAGGTATTCGGTGGCTTGGTGCTCTGGTGCCAAGGTAGGGATATGGGTTCCGTCTATGGCCCCACCACAGTTAGGGAATCCCATTGCAGCAAAGCCATCCACTATGACCTGCACATTTCCCGGGGTCACTACCCTTGATATCAGCAGATCTTTGATTGCGTGGGCTACTTGCATCACAGCAGCCCCAACAGTAGATTTGCCCACTCCAAATTGATTCCCAACTGACCGGTAGCTGTCTGGCGTTGCAAGCTTCCACAGGGCTATTGCCACTTGCTTCTCAACTGTGAGGGCTGCTCTCATCTTGGTATTCATGCGCCTCAGGGCAGGAGAAAGCAAGTCACAAAGTTCCACGAAAGTGCCCTTACGCATGCGAAAGTTTCGCAGCCACTGGGAATCATCCCAGACCTGCAACACTGTGCAGTCCCACCAGTCTGTGCTTGTTTCCGGAGCCCAGAATCGGCGTTCCACAGCATGAACCTGCCCCATTAGAACCATGATGCATGCATTGGCAGGGCCCATGCTTTCAGAGAAATCTGTGTCCATGTCCTGATCACTCACGGGACCGCGCTGACGTCACCTCCTCGCCTGGTATCGCTTTGCCAGGTTCTGGTGCTGCATATACTGCTGGATAATGCGTGTGATGTTTAACGTGCTCCTAATTGCCAAAGTGAGCTGAGCGGCCTCCATGCTTGCCTTGGTATGGCGTCCGCACAGAAAAAAGGCGTGGAACGATTGTCTGCCGTTGCTCTGACGGAGGGAGGGGCGACTGACGACACGGCTTACAGGGTTGGCTTCAGGGAGCTAAAAATCAACAAAGGGGGTGGCTTTACATCAAGGAGTAAATCAGGCAGGACTTCACGGAGGGTTCCAATAAGAAATGGTGCACCTAAGTTATTGTTCTTATTGGAACAAGGAGGTTAGCCTGGCCTCTGATTGATACATGGCTAGATTTACCTCGCTGCACCTTCTCTGTGAGTGACTGCAGTGTGACCTAGAGGAATGAGTCCCCTAGATGGGGGAGGAGGCAAATGAGTAAAAAACAAATCTGGTCTATTTCTTGTTTTGATCCACTCCATCTATCTTTTACATCTTTGGCTGGCAGCAGACGGTGCAGAAGGACTGCTAGCCATCCACATCTCTTGCCTGCCCGGCAGAAGATGGTACAGTACGACTGCTAGCAATCCGTATCGCCTGCCTGCTCACCATAAGACGGTTCAATAGGACTGACTGCAGGACTAAAGAGAATGACCTGGTCAAGTCACTCCAAATTTAGTCCCTGCGCCCATGTCTGCCCAGGCGCTCCCAGCCGACGTGGCCAGGAGCACCTTGGACACGACGAGGACGGCTACCAGTCGTACTGCACCGTCTGCTGCCAGAAGG